CCCTAACCATACTTTAATTGTTATGATATTTTTTCTGCTATTGGTGTTTTATCTAATGTTTATTATTGTTGTCCTCACATTGCAGTTCATTATATTAATTTTCTCTTAGGACAAATATGTATATGTAGATATGTTCGATTTTCCCCGTTAGGTTATTCATATTTACTGCTACGATTTTTGTTTTCACCTGCATACTGTACCTTACTAATAAATGCTTCGTTACTTCCTCTATGAATGTGCGTATATCGTTCGGTCTTTCACTACACCTGTATTTTCTTATACTTCCCACGCTAATCGTTCGCTTTTTCACACATAGGTTAAAGATACATGCCTTAGGTCCAAACCCACCTACCTGCCCACCCTACACGGAATTCACTCTAGGATTATGAATTTTACTCAGTGCCATCCCTAAGACTTTTAACTGAAACCCAAATCGCTTTCATGACGTCCTCTCGAAGTTCGATATCTTATCCTCATCTATGCTAGAATTTATGCTTCTTTAGTTTAAGGAATTGGTGAATATGTAACTTATATCTGACTGATGGTAGTCTCTTGCAAATGATCATAACGATGATAATGGATTACAGGACACCATACTTCATATAGGCTTACATAATTATTATCCCAGCAAGTTAATTTTAAGCCCGGCTCATGGCCGTAAACGAATGAATCCTGCGCCCGCCGCACCGAGATGTTACTTCCGCTCATACGATTGAAGCGCCCGAGACGCGCACGCCCGGCTCATGGCCGTAAACGAAGGAATCCTGCGCCCGCCGCACACTTACGCTCATACGATTGAAGCGCCGAGACGAGCACTGTTAGAATTAAGTTCAGGCCCATATATACTTGCCTATTTAGACCAAAGATATGGAATTATTGTCCAATTATTTTTCTCTCTTCGGTATGATGGTACTCTACAGAACTCGCTAATCCTAACAAATCCAAGTAATTAACACCCACTTACTTGACACGTTACCCTTCTCATAACAATTAGTTCTTATTATGCCCTCATTTTTTCTTGCAACTTAGTAAGGTGATTGACAAACACATTATTACCATCCTCCTTAACCCTTTCACTGGCCTGGTACACGTATATTTCAGCTTCTGAAGATGATTGACCCTCCTCGCTACTGAATGTTGCACCTCAGTGCGAAACCTCCCCGCACCCGCTACCCTGTCACGCGACGACCCTAGCGGCCATCGGATCACCAGGACCCATCTGTAGATACCGAACAGAACCTGTATCCCTATGCACAACTGCAGTGTGATCCCTGGGCGCGGCTACTCTGCCCGCTGGGCTGGAGCGCTCTCTCTCTCTCTCTCTCTCTCTCTCTCTCTCTCTCTCTCTCTCTCTCTCTCTCTCTCTCTCTCTCTCTCTCTCTCTCTCTCTTCTTCTCTCTCTCTCTCTCTCTTCTTCTCTCCCACCCCCTTTCCCTCCCTCTCTCCCTCTCTCCCTCCCTCCCTCCCTCTCATGTAATAACTTGGTTTGTTTTATCCCAGTGCGATGCCACCAATGTAATAACATGATAATATCCCACTTGCTGGCACCAAATAATAAAGTGGTTTTGATATCTCCTCAGCCTCTTCGTATGTATGGTACTGCCAATTGTTTCTTGAAGTGTCATGGAGTTAAGTTAAAGTTGATACAGCTTCAATACTTTATTCTGTGGTAGCGTGGTAGGTGGGATACAGAGGACGGGCAAGGTAGGGGCGCTCAGGGAAGAGCGGGGCGACCTGCCCGGCCCGCCGTGGCGAGCGGTCTCTCTGAACTGCTCAGAAATTTCTATCAGCAAACTTCGTTTTAAAACATTTCATAATGAAAAACACGAAAGAATCTGAATGAACATAAACTCCTTTACATATGGTAACATGGTGGTTTCGTGGTGAAGGAACAAGGGTACCTTATACACACGGTTGTGTGTAAGAAGAGCTATGGTGTTTACACGACTAAAAAGCTTCGCGATAAGGAGACAAAAATGCTGAGTATACACAAAACATAAAGATATTTTGAATATAGGCAATGTTAACGGCAACATACATAGCAATTTAGAATAAGCATTTTCTAACGAACATTTCAAGTATAAACAACACATAGTTATGCACATAGACAACGAAATAACAGCATGGGAAATTGTTCACAAGCAATAAGGGTTGAAATAGCGGGTTCTAAGGTCATTTGTCATTTTCACGGGTGTAGACCTACTGGAGTCGACTGAGGACAGTGAAATTACAGTGGGGTAAGAATACATGGCTTTTCTGGTATGTAAGACGAGGGAGATCACGAGAACAGGTCACTAGACTCTCTCCCTCTCTCCCTCTCTCCCTCTCTCCCTCTCTCCCTCTCTCCCTCCCTCCCTCCCTCTCTCCCTCTCTCTCTCTCCCTCATTAGCGCTAATTAGATGCTAACTTAGAAGAAAAATAAAACAGACTCTATGTTACACCAAGAATATCCATTGTAACAAATGGAATCAAATTGGTAAACACGCTTTCTTCTCTCGCTTATTTGTGGTCAACCTTTAATAATTCGCATCGCCTAGGAACGCCGTTTTGGTGTAAGCGCATACAGCGAGCCAAAGAACGCTAGTGGCTTATATTCCTATAGAACTCCTCTATTTTCGGAAGTCATACAACTATGGCAGGGCCGCGGCGGTGTACCTTAAACGCACACACAGAAACACACAATCACACACAAATACTAGTTACTTTTATTTCCCTTTGGATTACGTTGAACACATCTTACCTCTCGCTAATTAATGGACAGCTTGTAGAACAGAAAATTATGGATGTTAAACACACAACTTCCTCCTCCTGCTTTTGAGGATCGGGGCACTACTGAGCTGAGTTTTGAGTCCGATGCTGGCCGCGCGCTATTGCCAACCTCTCACTCTTCCCCTTTCTTTATATATCTTCATCCTTCAATTTACCAACGCAAGCATTTCTACAAATAACATTTCTTCCTGATATGACATACTTACAGAACGCCAATTGCAGTAACATGTTGTAGGAATAAGTAGATCCAAAACTATTAGAAGGAAAGGAGTGGCAATGCACGGAAAAAACGGGAAAGGGGCCGCAGTAGAGAGGCCTCCTTTTCTCCGCCTCAGGACATACTTCGATTCAACGCAAGATAGTGACGATCCCTCATGACATTTTGGAGAATACTCTGGTTTCATGTTCGCACTAAATACGTTCGGCATTATTCACGCAACATTCAAGGTGAAATTTAACGAAAATAAGATTACTTTTATTTTATTCAATAAACTAAACCGACAATCAGGAAATCAGAGAAAATATAAATACGTAGTCATTTGGTTGTTCACGACAGCACTCAATCTGCACATTCAGGACAAGAACTATCACTGTGCTTATGTGTCACACATACATACTGTGCATATTTATGTATGCATTTACACATACGTACATACAGACACACATACATAGAGAAATACATATACATATAAGCTCACAGACCCGTGCGCGCACACTCACATACGCATGCGCACACACACACACACATATATAAATATATATTCACACAAACACTCACATATGTGTATATATACACACATGTATATGTATGTATGGATGTATGTGTATACATATGTATATGTATGTATACATATGTTTATAAATAAATAAATAATTGAATACAAATAAATAAATAATAAAATATAAATAAATAAATAATAAAATATAAATAAACGTATATCTATACATCTATATACATACACATATATCTCATATATATTATATATATATATATATATATATATATATATATATATATATATATATATATATATATATATATATATATATATATATATATATATATATATATATATATATATATATATATATATATATATAGTATATATAGTATATACATATGTATATGTATATGACACACACACATACATATATGTGTGTGTGACAATGACGAAGTGACCTTAAAACACGCTAATTCAACCCTTATTGCTCGTAAACAATTCCCATGCTGTTATTCTGTTATCTGTGTATAATTGAGTCTTGTTTATACTCAAAACACAAAATGCTTATTCTGAATTACTAAGTTTCTTATCATTATTATTGTCGATATTCAAAAGTCTTAATGTTTTATGAATACCCAGCATTCTTGTCTCCTTATCAGGAAGCTTTTAAGTCTTGTAAACACCATAACTCTTACATACAACTGTATATATAAGGTACTCTTGTTCCTACACAAAAGCACCATGTGACCAAATGTTTCTGAATTTGTATTCATTCAAGTTCTTTCATGTTTTCCATTATGAAATGTTTTAAAGCTTGAAATGTCTCAGCAATCCACACAGACCGCTTGTCACTCGGGCGAGGCAGGACGCCGCTCCTTCATGGGCGCATCTACTTTGCCTGTCCTTTATAATCCAGCGAGGATACTCCCGTGTTAATAAACTGTAGAAGCTGTGGCAACTTAAACTCTCCACCTCAAGTGCCAAACCAGCAGTACCGTCACAGAAGAGTACGAACTCACCACAACATCACACCAGTATCATTCAAGTGGGGACACAGCCTCCCCCTAATCATTACCGTGTGTGCGTGCGGGCGTGTGTGTGATCAATTTTGATATTGCTCTGGAGCAGAAGGGAATACTTCTCTCTCTCACCCCGGTATGAACATTTAAGGAAACACACGTGGCTGCTGCGCACACCGAGCAATGGCTTCCCGTGAGAGAAGCTACTCATTCACTTATCACTTTTTACGGTCGTATTGTTTTAGGAATATATGGTAAGAGTAGATAATGCTGGAGTTTCCATGACACATCAGGCAAAGGAGTATTTCTATGACATTTTAGCGTGTAGTTTCAGTAGTCCTCAGTGCCCCAGAATTATTCGCGTGTAAATTTGCCTAGTACAAACAAACACATAGATTTAGGTGTATGTGTACTTACTCTGTATGTAGGAGCCATTTACACAGCTTATGGCTGGTAATATATATGTGAAGAAAATCAAAGTAGGGCCTACCTTCCTCTGAAGAATGATTGAAGTGAATGAGAAAGTTTTCCTCCTTATATTTCATATAATGTTATACCATTGGCCTTACGTCAGCTATGCACCAGAGTAACCATCACTAAGTTCAAAAGTGGCATCCGGTATTCGTTATACAGCGTTACCACTAGTGTGTCATCTATTTTGTACCTTGTTGCGGATAATTTTTTCCCTTTAAACATTTTAAAGGCTATTTGTTTTTATTTTCCATGGAAATTTCCCCAATTTTTCAGGCCATGAAAGCATACAAAACATAGAGAATAGCAGCTGCAAATAAGCATTTCATATCTAAGAAAGCTGGTATTTATGAAATATAAATAACGCTACCCTTATTGTAGTTGCATACATTCATAATATTAAAATTAATAACGATCGAAAAATGATCTAATAAGCAAATCCAGCCACTCAACCCATTCACGGGACAATATTGTAGTGACGAGCAAGGCTTTTGAATATAGTGTCAGACTTCGACACTATACAATTTTCTTGTATCATTTATTTTGCACTCTCCGGATACAAATATTATGTATCAGCGTATTTTCAGTTGCCAGATAGCACTCGTCATTTTACATACACATATGTCGAACTCTTTTGGTCCCCTGATATTACGTTACGCTTGCTCAACGGGGTTTCACAATTTGTTATCAAGAAAGCTTAAAAACTAACACCCTATATGGAAAATCAAAAGGAACCTGAGCATAACTCCTTGCTAAAGAGAACATGCAAAAAAAGAAATTAAACAAACTAATATTTGATAAGACCGCTTGGATTTATATACAAAACACGAAAATAGAATGAAACTTGCATATATTACTGGTGTAACTGTACACATTACTTATCTTACAAAAGTTCTGCCTCGAGTCCGTAAACGTAAAACACAATTGTAATGACCAGACATATGTTATATATCGGTTTATTTACGAAAGGGCAAAAGCTTTAGAGAGCTTTCGAAAATTACTTAAGTTATCCCTTCAAATCGTAACATCTCATTTTCTAGGTCACCTGTTCTAGGTCACGGAAGGGAGTCCGAGCGCATACTTTTTAAAGCAGACCAACGTGTGACAGTCCGTTCTCTTATCGTTCACTACAACGTCAGTCATCGCGTTTCATTCTGGCCCGTTAGTAGGTCTCTTCATGCTCATGGAAGGAAGCATGGGGAGAATCCTCTCTTTCGAGATTTATCGAGGACACCCGGAAGTCAAGGTACCGCGGCTATTTTGTAATTTGATGCGCCGAGACGTCCTCCTTGATCGCGCGCGCACGGCGCATTCTGCAGGAACTGGGGAGTAATAAATTATCAGTTTATGGAAACGCTCCAAGCTCAATTTGGGTTTATATCATGTGATCTAAACAACATCAGTGGTAAACTCAGTGACCCAAAGTAAGGGTCATGAACTCATAAAAAAGTATTAAAGTGAATAACGTTATACAACAGAGTAAAACTTGTATCGTAAAAGATAAAATACCGGATGCAGCCAAGTATGCCAAATGAAGAAAAGTAAAACTATCCTGACTATAATGTACAATAGACACCCAATAGGACCGTGAAGGCAGCGCATGAAATTATGGAGGGATAATGATAAAACGTGCATGAGACTAAACTCTGTCGCAGTGAGAAGTGTTTGAAGAACGCATCAATGGCATGAAGGAAAAGAATATTAAATAATGTAAAGAGGCCCTTGTATTATATCTTTAGCATTGCACAACGTACATGGTCATATCATCGACTACGGCTGTGCAGTTAGGTAGGGTATTCAGCAACCAAACTAATCATTGTTCACATGCATACACTAGCTCCACTGCTAGGCTTAACCACACGAAGACTTGCGTGCCGTTCTTGACTTTTCTTAGAGGGTTAATTGCCATAATTCCCGCGCGTATCTTGGGTTATGCTTACAAGTTACATAAACATACTTTCCCCTTTACTTAGGTGTATCCTGTTAGGACTACATATAAGGCCGCAAGTAAGTCTGTTTTACTACGACTCTCGTCTAGCTATGTACATTCCACACAATTAGATGAATTAATCCAATTTTTCCTGATAACCCCCTACACCATGGGTAACTGTCCCTGAGGGATATCCCTCTTCTGAGCCAGTTCCTTTGGACTTCACCCACCCCCATTCTGCACCGCGTCTCGCCCCTCAACCCCACCCCAACCACCGCCATGACAAAGGACGGTTAAAGGACGGCCCTTAGAGTATGACTGTCCCAATATGCGGTATAGCCGCTCTTTCTGCCTCTTTCGACGGCCCACACCCGTTCAGCCTCGCTTAAAATCCCTGTTAAGAATTCTTACGAGGAGAAGAAAAGTCCGGACCAGGGCATGGTGCTCCTGACGGGGATTCTTAAAGTGGCGCTGCAGAGAGGAATGACTGACGAAGGCGCTGCAGGAGGAGGATAGCGACACCCTGAACATTTTTACGTGTTAGGAGGAGATAATCTACAGTTTCGTTTTGACGACGCCCCGATGTCCCACTCGAGGCCTAAGAAGGATAACGAAGAATAAAGTCAGGACGTTGTACATGTGTATTTTTCAAGATGGCGACAGACGAGACAAGATGGAAAATCTCCAGCG